TGGCTGACTCCCCAGCTAGGCACTCAGTCTCTGGGCGGGCGCCTTGGTGCCCCGTGGTCGCAGGGCCTTAGCCTGGCCTCAGAGCAGATGGCCCAAGACTGCTGGTCCTATGCAAAGCAGACCAGTACCCCGTGTCACTCTGGCTTCTGCAAGTGTTATCCAGCTGAGGGTGAGACTTAAACCCAGCAGGTTCCAAGCCTCTCTTTTCCAGCTAGAGTCTGTGCTCCCCTCGCTTTAGTAGACTTCACCACCACCACCACCCCCCCGCCCTGAAATTAAGGTTTGCCACGAGAGCACACGAGCAAATTAGTGGGAGCTTCTAAAGGCCTGAAGCAAAACCTGAAATCATCACGGGGTGGGTGGGGAACAACCCTAAGAGATTTTTTTTTTCTCACTGTACTAGTGTATTTAATTATAATGATTCTGAAAAATTGCAGCGGGAAACGGTTTGGTTGTAATAAAGTAGCAACTGGTTAAAGGGTTTTTTTTTTTTTTTTTCCATTTTGTCTTTGAAGACTTAACCGTTGTGCGGTGTCATAAAAGAATATGTCAGGGACGTTCCAAAGCACGCATGGATTTAATGGTTAGATTTTTTTTTTTTTTTTGCAACGAAGGTCATATATTGAAAAAGTTTAGAATAGTGCCTGGGATACCGAAAACGTGTTTAGTGTAAAGAAGAATAAACGTGGCAAATGACAGCACTTTATAATGTCCAAAGGACATGATCATTAATCTTTAAAATACTTAATCCCAGCTACAGCGATTTTCCATTATATGTTATTCTCGAGGATCCCTTTTTCCTGTCGCCTGCCTAGGCACCTTTTCTGTGTTGGGTCCTGCGTTTGGGTCAGAAGTAGAAACAGGGGAAACTTACAAGCAGTTCAGCCCTATTTAAAACAAAACAAACCGAGTTTGGGTGGAGTGGGGAGGAGCAGGGAGAAAGAGAGCATTGGGACTTAAGCCCCATCTCCCCTCTGCGACTTCGTTTTCCAGAGAGTGGCTGGAAAGCTTACTAAGAACCAGGGTGGAAGAAAAGAGGTCCGTGTGCAGAGCAATCTGCCTTCCTTTCCTTTTGAAAGATTTGAACAATGGGATAATTAGACCGATAGATACGGGTAGGAGGGACTGTCCTAGAAACGAAATGCCATTAGGAAAGAAAGACCAGGCTGACAAATCTAGAGGGAAAAGATGTAGACCCGGGCGGCCTTCCCTAAATTGGTCATCTGGTCCCTGGTGCGTAAGTGATTTATGTAACTGAGTAGTGAGAGGAACAGA